GAAGAAGAAGAAGAAGAAGAAGAAGAAGAAGAAGAAGAAGAAGAAGAAGAAGAAGAAGAAGAAGAAGAAGCACGATAGTCTTTAACTGAATGTCTACTATATTTATGCATATATAAAATGCATTTATTAATAAATATAATGTATATGCTGTGATAACTCATTCTGAAAAATGTTAAAATATGAACTTTTTTCAACTTGTCAATTCCCAGTGAAGAAGGGGAACACAATTGTTTTAAGTTGTTTTATTTGAATTTCTTCTTAAAGACAAAATGAAGGTTTATTTGTTTGAGATAGCACTGAATCTTAGCTTTGCAATATAGTCTACATATTTCTGGGCATATTTAGAGCATACTTTAGCTTTAAAACTGATACCCTGAAAATGTAATGCTATAGCCCCCAAATAGGAAAAGTAGCAAATTCTTCCCACCACTTGAGACCGTGTAACAGTACCCTTCTGAAATGTCTCTCTTTGCAGCAGGATGAGGTCATTGCTCAAAATAAAGGCTCTCCTGCACAAGTACATTGCTTTGTTCCACTAAGTCTGAAGATGCTCAAGACTGACGAGGTCAGGGCTAGGAGTGCAGCTAGCAGGAGAGCACCTGCCTAGCATGAGTGATAACCCAAGCTCACCCATAAGCATCATCAAAACGATGAACAGTGCCAGCATCCTGGTTGCTAGATACGATCAGTAGTTTATGAGATAGCACTCTTGAAAAGTCAGAATTTGGATCATGTGGTTTGCAAAGGCTGAAATCATGTAAGTCACATGTGTTCCCTTTTGCTGTTTAGAAACTGAGTAGTGAAGGTGGCACTTGTGGTCAGGGAGTTTTGAGGAGATAAACCAGCAGTTTTGGATTCTTGGTTCTGAATGAAACCTCTTTATGGGATCCCTGCTGGCTGATTTGTTCTAAAGATACACTCATTCATGCAGTTGATTAAGTTTTTATTTTTTGACTTTATTCCAAGATCTGAAAGTTGTATTTACATTTTCAAACTACAATTTCTGGTTCTGTGTGGACCTAAGGTCAGCTGAGCCTTAGATGTCAGGCTTCAAAAATCATTAGTAATAAGCAGAGGAGCGGACCAAGCTAAGAGCCTACTTACTCTCCAAGAGGAAACTGTGTGAATGGGACAGACCCCCAGACCCCCAGACCTCTAGAATACCTTTCCTTTTTCTGTTCCCTCCTTAGTATTTAGAAATCAAAGTCATATTGTTAGTGACGTAGCACTGAGCACAAAGTGTATGGAGACAAGTTGGAGTAGATTCATTCTCAACTCAAAAATGATTCCTCCCTCATATAATACTGATGGACTTGGTGATGTCTTACCAAGATGAAGCAAAAAATCAGCCATACGAATGCACAGGGCAGGAAAGCATCTGTCCCCTCTCATGTTACATGAGTTGAAATCTTTCTTTTCCCACCTCCATGACACAGAATCTTTGCAAATTTAATGACTGTCACATGCAGTCAATCTCTGTTAATTCACAGAAAGCATCTTATGCCGTCTCCCCTCCTTCCTCTGTTTCACCGCACTTTATAGAATTGAGTTGCTCCGGCTCATTCGCACAGTTCTGAGACTTTGGGACAAAGTGAGCCAGGTTAAAATGGATGTAAATGAACCAAACATTCAATCAGGTGCGATTGGAGCATACAGTATTATGTGTTCATTGTAATAGAAACTACAAGAGCTTAAAAGGCTCAGAATAACCCAGACGAAAATATCTTGGGGTCTTTTTCCATTTTAAAGAGAATTGGATAATTCTGTGTGGTTGAGGACTGACAGCATAATGGAAACAGAGAAATCTGCAGTTTCTCACCAGGTAACTGCATTAGCAACGAACTCATAATACACTCAGTTAGTTGAAAAGAGCATAAAAGTCCTTCTGTTTTCCTATGAGGAACCACATTCACACAGTTTTTTAGCCAATTAGACTTAGGCACTGCTAAATTTAGTTATTGGAAAGTGCTTTTTACCTTGTAGCTTTTAGCAATAATGAGAAATCACATGCATGCTGACTTTTGTCATAATTGTTTATTAGCAGGAGCAAATATAATCAAAGCTGCCCTTAAACATTGCCTCTCTCTCATGATACACCTACAGAACACGATGTTTTTGTCTAATAGCATCCTGAATATTTCTCATGCTTGACTATAGGTTACATTCTCATGGATTTCTCATACTTGACTATAGGTTACATTGGTGGCAAAATACTTCGGTAATCTTTGACAGTTTTATGTTTTATAGTAACAACATTTCTGAATAGAAGATAGTATAAAATGCACAGCATAAATGTTACACAGTTGTTTTACTTACATAAACTTTATGCACATTCATATATAAATTATATATTGAATTTTATCATATACATTTATTATATATTATAATTTATATATAATATAATTGTACATATAATTTATATATAATATGTATACACATACATACATACATCTCACTTACCAGAATTAAGAGGCAACTTGAAGCCAATTTTGTATGCTCAGGGATGGTAGAAAACACTGACAAAATCAAGCAACCAAATACAAGGAGAAAACTGCAAAATAACAGAAAAAGAGAAGTTTGATGAGAACCATGCAACTTTTGTCATCACAAAACAAACAAAACAGCAGATCCACTTGAACACGCTTGAACTAATTCCTGAGCATTTTAAATATCAGTGTGTGTGTGTGTGTGGCGGTAGTGTATTTAAATGTTAACGCTTAAGAATCTGTGATTTCCCGTACAACTCCTCACCTAAGCAAGGCCTAAGCAAGACTGAAGAGTGGTTCCTGCTCTCTATCTGGGGATGCCTGTCGCAGCCACTCTCCTTTCTAAGAAGAGGCAAACATTTTTGCAAAGTCTGTAAACTGCATATCATGATTGCTAAGCTGCATGCCCATTGCCAGGATCTGACAGTGCTTATGGATTATAATGTATAATTTTTTACATTAATAGGAAGAACAGGGAAAAAAAGATGATTTTTTTTTCTGCCACCTGTGCACTTTCTATCTCTGCAGCCAAGTTGTTAAAGGAAAAGGCTTGAAGCTCATTCTACTCACATTTTAATGACAGGCATCAGAAGTAATGAGTAAGTATTTCCTATTAATCACCATAATGATGTTTCTGCAAGTATGGGACTTCTAGGATTGTGGAAGGGGTAAGGGTGAAGGCTGAGCTTTTGAGGAAAATCTCAAATAAAAGGGAAGTCTATCCAAAGCTGATGCTGGAACACAAACTCTTTAAAACAAATCAGAACCCCTTAGCAAAGTGCCGGAGACTAAATACTTGTGTTGAGAAAATTAATAAAATAAGGACTTCCCTATTACAGAGGAATTAAACTTGACCTCCTTGTAGCTTGCACCAAGAAGATTTGTAAGTCCATTGACCTTACTAGACTAACAGTGTCCTAATCTCCAGTCAGGGATTGACTGTTGAAAATTTTAGATAGAAGTTTTTTTTATTGAAAATAGATTTTTCTCTCACACAATGCACCCCAATCGCAGTGTTTATTCCCTCCTCCCGGCTGCCCTCCCATTTCCCCTCTCCCCCACGTCCACTCTCCTTCCATTTTCCTTCAGAAAACAGCAGGTTTCCAAGTGACAACAACCAAACATGACAAAATAAGCTAGAACCAGAAAGGCAAAAGACCTGTGCAGAGGATGGACAAGGCAACCTAATAGGAGAAAAAGAATCCCAAGAGCAGGCAAAAGGAGTCAGAGACTCACCACCTCCCAGTGTTAGGTGACACACGGATTACCAACCTCGTAACTGTAACATATATGTAGACCTGGTGAAGACCACTGTAGTCCCCACACTTACCACTTCAGTTTCTACGGGCTCATATGAGCCCTGCTTTGTTGATTGAGTGGGCCACATTTTCCCGGTATCCTCCAGCCCCTCTGACTCCTATAATCTTTCCTTCCCTTCTTCCATGGGATTCATTATTTCAAACCCTGACTTTTCCCTTTTAACACCTCCTTGTTGATCCCAATCCGTTTCAAATCCATGACCTTTTCTTATGCAAATATACATACATACATATATATATATACACATATATATATATATATATCATGTATATGCATAAATATACAAAACTCACTGAACCCATTTAGCGTTGCTCGTATGTATGTGTTTAGGGCGGACCACTTGGGGTTGGATAATAGACTGGTGAGTTAACGCCTAGAGAAAACGGATTCTCCCTCCCCCCAGCAGCCACTGCCTGCCTACAGTTTTTCATGTAGAGGTGGGCCTTGTAAAACACTGGCATGTTGGCTATTGCTTTGAAATGTTCATTCTACCACAGTAAGGAAAACATATCAATCACAGCTTAGGAAAAATATTCTCTAAGGAGCCATCTAGCAAATATTTCAATCTGTCAGGTCATTCTGATTGTCATAACTGCTTGGTTTTACTCTTGTAATATAAATGCTACTATAGACAACAGACCAGTGGCAATAAAACTTTATTTATAAACGGAATAATTGTTAGGAGTATATCTGTAATACAACACCTATGTGGACAATACAAATACAAATACAAATACAAATACAAATACAAATACAAATACAAATACAAATACAAATACAATACAATGCAGACATTTTGGAAGAGAGGGCAGAAAGACTGTAAAAACAGGAGTGCCAGAACGCCTGGTGCTGGATAGTGTCTTCTAGACTTGATGGGTACGTGCTGTATCCATGAAGTCTTAACAACAAAGTTCCCTAAACAAGACCTGAAAATGACAATACCCCTCAACATGTCAGCGCTTTATAAGGCCCACTCCTACATGAAGAACTATAGGCAGTAAGTGGCTGCTGAGGGTGGGGAAATCTATTTTCTCTAGGAGTTTCTCTAACTCCCCAATAGGTTCTCCAATGCAAAATAAAAATGAAGTGGTAGTTGTTTAAAATTATTTAATATCTCATGATTAAGCAAGGCAGCATGAAACGCAGTTGGAACTGCTTTCAAATGTGGGTATCTATGAGAACACAGAGGTTGCATGTCCATTGGACTGGGCCTGGGGTTAAAGGAGACTTCCTGGGCAACCCATGACTAAACCGTCCTGAAGGGGCAGATGGAGCAGAATGGCTGGGGTAAAGGAATACTCTAGTCCACAGGACTGTATGGATCTGGGTGAGATGCGAGCATGTGCCTAGAATTCATTGATTCACCAGGCAGCTGGAGCTAGAGAACACCTGCAAGGCAGCTCATCTGCTAACGAAGAGTGAAAAAAGGCAGCCCTATAAATAAATCCATGTCTCTGTAAAGCAGTCATTTCAGTCCAGAAAAATGTGTATTGAGCGGCCTTATTATTGGGAAACATAGCATGTCAAAATGGCCAAGTTCACAGATCAGCTGAGGAATTTATACACACAGGGAAATGGATGAGGTGTACACACGGGAGGGTAATGAAAAGCAGGGGAAGAGTACTTTGTGTTTGAGGTGGGCTTTGTCCTTCAGCACGAGACATTTACTAGAGAAACACATCCAAGAATGAAATAGAACACAGAAGCTGCAAGCCAGCAGAGGAGAAGCTTCTGGGGTAGATTCTGTATTTAGTTTAGTAGCTATTGAAGACAATGGAAATGGTATTATTGCCCTTAGAGTGTCTCAAAGTATGTACCTCACCCCAGCTCAGCTCTAGACTTTCAACCCAGTGCTGAGCCATAGTCTGTGCTACAACTCCATTCATTGTTATTCCCCCAAATAGAGGGGGAATACTTTTTCTCTATAGCATTTTTTTGGAAGTTGAATATAAGCAGGGACAATGGTGGGTCACTCTCTGTCTGGGTGTTTTCATTCAGGTCCACAGCTTTCCTAGAGATATGCTTAGAACTTAGGGTATTTGGAACATATGTGGGGAAAAGGCTGACTTTTGTTTTCAATATAATAGAATTAATGGCACTTGCAACTTTGTTACTCAGAAATTATGGATATTTTCATGTTTTTTATGTAATAAAAAACATGATTCTTTCAACTTGAATAGTGGTTCTTTTATAATCATTATTTCAAGATTGTGGCAGTTATTAATCCCTGGTTAGGTTTTTTTAAATGTATTATTAATAATAATATGCTTTGCCATGTCACAAGCATATTAGATACTTCAGTCCTGGCATTTCAACATAATTTTATTTTTTGTAATTATGCATATTTTCTGTAACATTCTGATAACTGGTTTATAGGCTTCACTAGTCTACTGACATATCATGGTAGACCCATATAAAAAGTTAAATTGCTTATGGAAGGGTTATGAACATAGGCCTGCAACCTGAAATATGGCCCTGTTTGGTAGCCATAAACAACTCCCAGAGGTAACATTTGAGGTCAGTTTAAAACCACCATGAAATAAAAATATTCCTTCAAAAATCACTTCATAACTGCTTCTGGTCTTTATTTTATCTGAAGCATTTCTATTTTGTTTCAGATAAAATTCATTCTCATCCAAACTTCTCATTTGGAAGGCACTGATTATTTTAAGACAGAGAAGAGTATTTATGAGAAAGTAAATATTGCCAGTCTCAAGGCTGCTCCATTTAGCCAAGAAAAGTACCACGAACTTTTTCTGTTAGTTAATTAAGAATCAATCTTTGAAATTGAATTTAGCAAAAAGGTTGAGCTGAAAAACACAGTTTCTTGTTTGAACAAATGATGCCCTGATTCTAAAGCAGGTGATTTCAGAGCAGGTGCACTTAGCCAGAATTAAAATGACATGCAAATAAAGTACTCAGAAAAGCTCTGCTGGTATTTTGCCAAAGGGTTGGGGGATGGGAACCAAGCACCCCAAAAACAAAAACAAAAACAAAAAACAAACCTTAGCAAGTTACATTATTATCACACACACACACACACACACACACACACACACACACACACACAACTATCCATTCACAAACAACTGTGCATGATGCAATGAAATAAGACAGAAAATGGACTGAATATCTGATGTGGGCATTTCACGGAGCTTCAGCAAGTGGGCTTTGTGGATATGGACACAAGTGAACATTTCTCACCAGAACACTTTCTTCTGTAGCCATTTTGGTAGACAATCAGTTTTGCTGAGAAACCTTTGGAGGAGGGGGATGTCTTTAAGTCATACATGGTATGGGATTGTAGGATTAAAATAAAGCACACTAATGAGACATTCAGAAGCATTTAGGAAAGACAGTCCTTAGGAATCACTTATAGAAAAAGAATTAACCATCCCTATGCTACTTCATAAAATTCCAAGTATTGCTAAGATAAGGCAGGCACTTTAGTGTATCTCCTATGGAAGATGTTTGTATGTGCATCTCAGATTATGACAACTGATGATGCTTGCTGGTATGAGTGACTTTAATGACCCACTTGCGACATGCACGTGCCTGGAGGCCAAGCTGTCTAACGAGTCAAAGCCTCCTGACCATATTGGTGGGAGCTGAAGCTCATTGTTCTTGTATCCTAAATTCATCTGTTGTCAAATAAACTTAGTGCTCTGTGAAACCTCCTTGGTACATGATTTTTCCATGACGGATGTGCAGTTTTCATGTGAAGTCTGCACAGCACATCTTACCT